AAAAAAAAAAAAAAAAAAAGAAAGAAAGAAAAAGAAAAATAATGTATATATTAGGGATTTATTCCTCAACCCATGTTAATTAAGAGGGAATATTGAATTAATAATCATATATTTGATGGCTATCCTATTGTACTGCTTCTTCTGGTCAAATAATGTGGCCAGTATGTTTTCTGCTTTTTGGGGGGAAACATTAGAAAAACTGTTATAATCTCTTCCTGGTTTTTTCAGACCTGTGCTTTCTACTGTGCATGATATTTACAGGGTTTCAGATTGGTATTTTTTTTGTTTTAAGGCAGAGTCTCCCTCTGTCACCCAGTGTGGAGTGTGCAGTGGCACAGTCTCAGCTCACTGTAACTTCCACCTCCCAGTTCAAGCAGTCCTCCCACCTCAGCCTCCCGAATAGCTAGGAGTATATGCATGCAATACCACGCCTGGCTAATTTTTTTTTTTATATTTTTAGTAGAGATGGGGTTTCACCACCATGTTGGCCAGGCTGGTCTCAAACTCCTGACCTCAAGTGATCCACCTACCTTGGCCTCCCAAAGTGCTACTATTACAGGTGTGAGCCACTGTGCCCGGCCTCAGACTGGTATTCTTTATGTAGCATAAAAGATGAAATCTGAACAAAGACTATTCACACATACTTTTTTTCTTCCTTTTAAAATTCCATGCTGAATAATAGTGATGGGGAAAGGCTTTGTTATACTCATTACAAATGTTTCTCTTTTTCCACTATGAATTATAAACTTGCCAAAGGTAAACAACATGGTTAAAATCATTTCCATAAATCTTAAGAAACTTATCATAATGAGCATATCATTGATAATAGTGGAAAACTTTTACTAAGCCTAATAAAAGTTTGAAGTACTATACATTTATTATTCATTGACTCCTCACAGCAAACCAAGACATACAGCCTGATTATATATGCCTAGACATATTTTTTTTAAATACCACTAACATCTATAAGAAAAAAAATCAGGACAGTGCAGTCGCTCACACCTGTAATCCCAGCACTTTGGGAAGCCGAGACAGGCGGATGACAAGGTCAAGGGTTCAAGACCAGCTTGGCCAACATAGTGAAACACTGTGTCTACTAAAAATATAAAAATTAGCCAAGCATGGTGGTGCGTGCCTGTAGTCCCAGCTACTTGGGAGGCTGAGGCAGGAAAACTGCTCGAACCTGGGAGGTAGAGGTTGTGGTGAGCCGATATCGCACCACAGCACGTCAGCCTGGGCAACAGAGTGAGACTCCATTTTTTAAAAAATAAAATAAAAATATTTCATATCTGGATTGATAAACACCCTTCATAACAGTGATTAGTTTCTAGTGTGGCACTGGGGTTAGGTTTGATGTAAAGGAACAAAACAGTTCACAAGAAGAAAACTGGGATAATTTTAGCAATTAAAATAAATGTTTTAAAAGTAAAAACAAGCATCCAAAGATAAATTTTGGGTCATAATAAGGAAGTCAGCTTTTATAGCTGCAAAAATTTCGAGGTAACCATAACATGAAGAGTCATTCTAAAGTCATTAAATGTCATGAAAATAATAAAAATCTATGTTTATTGAAATGGCACTCATGAATTTTTTGGCATGATAAAAGCAGTTAAAGATACAGCACGCACACCATAATTATACTTTCTCAAAAAGCAAAGTACAGCAAGATTCTCTTTACCAAATTGAGAGTAGCCATCTATGAGTATGATTACAATTATTTTTTGCTTTTTAGTTTGCAATTTTTTGTGATTTTTGGCTTAATAACTAAAAGTGTAAATTTGTAAAATAAAACTAAAAGAGTAACACTGACTTCAAAAACAAAGTTATGACTCACAAGGAATTTAAAAATATTAAAGGTAACAATTCAAACAGCGCGATACTGGTGCAAACACAAATACACAAATCAGAAAAGATAGCCCTAAAAACACAAGTAAATATAAACAAGAGTATAATGCACCACCAAGAAAGCAGAACCAAACAATGAAAGAAAGAACCATAGAACAGCTGGCATTGGTATATGATGGAGGGCCGGGGAGAAGGAATCTCAATTTAGACTCTGAATTTATAACTTGGAAATACATTTAAATACAAAATTTAAATACAAAGTTATAAAAAATTGTGAAAGAGAGTAACTATTACATGTGAATTTTGGTTTAAAATATGAGGAAAGTGACAGGAGCTTTAATTTTCATTATTCATTAGCATGAATTCCCTGATGGCGAATGAGATCTGAGCCACTACTAAAAGCCTTCCCACATTCCTTACAGTTATAGGGCTTTTCACCAGTGTGAATTCTCTGGTGTCGAGTGAGGTTTGAGCATTTATTAAAGGCCTTTCCACATTCATTACATTCATACGGTTTTTCATCAGTATGAATTCTCTGATGTTGGAAAAGTTGTGAGTTCTGAGTAAAGGCCTTCCCACATTCAAGACATTCAAAGGGTTTCTCACCAGCGTGAATTCTCTGATGCTGACGAAGCTGTGAGCTCTGGGTAAAAGCCTTCCCACATTCCTTACAATCATAGGGTTTCTCACCAGTGTGAATTCTTTGATGATTAGTAAGTGCTGAGCCACTACTAAAGGCTTTGCCACATTCCTTGCACTCATAGGGTTTCTCACCAGTGTGAACTCTCTGATGTTGAACAAGCTTTGAGCTCTGGGTAAAGGCTTTCCCACATTCCTTACATTCATAGGGTTTCTCACCTGTATGAATTCGCACATGTTGAAAAAGTTGTGAGCTCTTAGTAAAGGCTTTCCCACATACTTTACATTCATAAGGCTTTTCACCAGTGTGAATTCGCTGATGGTCAATAAGATTTGAGCAATAACTAAAGGCCTTCCCACATTCCTTACATTCATAGGGTTTTTTACCAGTATGGATTCTCTGATGTTGAGAAAGGTATGAGCTACAACTGAAGGCCTTTCCACATTCCTTACATTCAAAGGGTTTTTCACCAGTATGAATTTTCAGATGCCGAGTAACGTGTGAACCACAACTAAAGAATTTCCCGCACTCTTTACATTCATAAGATTTTTCACCAATATGAATTCTCTGATGTTGAATAAATTGTGAGTTCTGACTAAAGGCCTTTCCACATTTCTTACATTCATAGGGTCTGTGTTCATCATTAATTATTTGATGGAGAGTAAGGAATGTCTGTTGAATAAATGTGGGCATGTATTCAGGAGTGAATATTTCTTGACTGAAATGCCCATTTTGATATCCCAGTTGTTTTGCAAGGTGGCTTCTATATTCCAAAACATCTCCAAAACTAGAGTACTCAAGGCCATACTTTGGCAGTCCCATTATCTCCCTCTGGCATAATTCTATTTCATAAACTTCCTTCTTTAGAGACAATAACTTGGTTTCACACATTGATTCCAGATCTGAAAGAAAATAAAATGATCAATGTTCTTTCTTCCTATTTGTGAAAAGTCGAACTTTTATAAGAGAAATGGAAAAATTAAAGTGAGAATAGTATCTACTAGGTAAATGGCACAGGGTTCACAGGATATCTGTGTAATCTGAAAAAGTGGACAGGCAAGCAGCAGAAATTGGTAAGATAATGCAGGAATCAGAGGAAGGTAACTATACAAATAAGTTACTACAATGATACTCAAACACGGATGTGGATCAGAATCACCTGGAAAGGCTGGTAAATATACAATGGTTGGGCTATTTTCCATATTAAAACATGACTAGCCATATCTGTGCACATAAGTCTACTTATATACATATATATGATATACATGTATTTATATAAGTATGCATGTGTGTATATGAGAGATAAGTATATCAGACAATATGTATAACATGAAGTGGATCATTTTCTAGCCTCCATTAAAGGTCTCCTGAGAGAAATAAATTCATATGGGGAAGATTCTTTGGCTGAGGTATAATATAGCCCCACACAGAACTTTAAAAACACTTGGAATTTCCTGGCAGGGGTCTTTGTTATGCTAATAAGGTAATTCATGGTGGGCCCTAAGAAAGCTTCAGGGTGGGATCTGATTACCAGAAACACTAGCTTCTGATGAGAGGGCTGAGACTTTTGGGCACACCTGTAATCCCAGCAGTTTGGGAGGCCGATGCAGGTGGATCACGAGGTCAAAAGATCAAGACCCTCCAGGCCAACATGGTGAAACCCCATTTCTACTAAAAATACAAAAATTAGCTGGGCATGGTAGCACATGCCTGTAGTCTCAGTTACTAGGGAGGCTGAGGCAGGAGAAATTGCTTGAACCCAGGAAGCAGAGGCTGCAGTGAGATTGAGCCACTGCGCTCCAGCCTGGTGACAGAGTGAGACTCTGTCACAAAAAGAAAGAAAAAAAAATGAGGGTTGGGACTTTCTGCTACCTGACCTCCGAGAAGGGGAGAGAGGCTAGAGAATGAGTTACCAGGGATTTAATCAATTCTGCCCGTATAATAAAACCTCAATAAAAATGGTGGGCAGTCTGCCGGGCGCAGTGGCTCAAGCCTGTAATCACAGCACTTTGGGAGGCCGAGGCGGGTGGATCACGAGGTCAAGAGATCGAGACCACCCTGGTCAACATGGTGAAACCCCATCTCTACTAAAAATACAAAAAATCAGCTGGGCATGGTGGCGCGTGCCTGTAATCCCAGCTACTCAGGAGGCTGAGGCAGGAGAATTGCCTGAACCCAGGAGGTGGAGGTTGCGGTGAGCCGAGATCGCGCCATTGCACTCTAGCCTGGGTAACATGAGTGAAACTCCGTCTCAAAAAAAAAAAAATGCTGGGCAGTCAAGTCAGTGGAATTTTCTGGTTGGTAAACGCACTGACGTGCTGGGAGTGTGACAAACTGACCCCACAGGGAGAGGGCATGGAAACTCTGTCCAGTTCCAGATCTTGCCCAAATATGTACCCTTTATAATAAAACTGTAGTTTTAAATACAGCTTTCCTGATTTCTATGAGTCATTCTAACAAATTATTGAACCTGAAACCTTGGAAACTCCTTAATTCATTGCTGTTAGTTGGCTGACCTGCAGGTTGCCCAGGACTCCCAAGACTTGTAGCTGGCAACTGAAGTGAGGACAGTACTATGGAAGACCGTGAGGTCTACGCTAATTCTGAATAGCATCAGAGGTGAACTGTAGCATACCCAGTTAGGGTGGAAACAAAATAAGCTCTGTAATAAAGGATACAGTGGATACAATTTGAAAGCGGTGGCTGGACACAGTAGCTCACGCCTAATCCCAGCACTTTGGGAGGCCGAGGCGGGTGGATCACCTGAGGTCAGGAACTTCAGACCAGCCTGGCCAACATGGCAAAACCCTATCTCTACTAAAAATACAAAAATTAGCTGGGCATGGTGGCACATGCCTGTAATCCCAGCTCCTTGGGAGGCTGAAGCAGGAGAACCACTTGAACCCAGGAGGCAGAGGCTGCAGTAAGCTGAGATCACACCACTGCACTCCAGTTGGGTGACAGAGTGAGACTCCATCTCAA